GCCAGGGTTTGGGGGTGGGATGGCAGGGGTAGGGGAACGGTTGGGCTGGGGGAGCTGAAAGGGCTTTGCCAACCTCCATGATTCTATAATTCTATGATTAAATGACAAACCCACAAGTTTACTTAAAAGCGTGGTTTGCTCTGGTGGAGGTGTGATGCTGCTGTGGTTCTGGGCACTGAGGCCAAACCCGGCTGCTGCCAGAGCTGGCGACAACCTTGGGAAAGAGGAGTTTTTATTTTGCCACCTTGCCTCCGAGCCTGGGAGCAAATCTGCCTTTGGGAGGAGAGAGCACAAATGGCGCGTGGGGGTTTCTCTGCAAAAACCCTGGGTGAAGGCAGGCCCTGAGCCCGGCACAGCTGGATCCTGCAAGAGAGAACACGCTGGGGAGAGAAGAGAGGTTGGGAAATCGCTTATTAAGCAGGGTTGAGGGCAGCGTGGGCAGGGGAAGGAGCTGGCGGGGGTGGAAGAGGCAGGAGGGGGATGCCAGGACTCGCAGCGAAGCGATGCCATGAAGGGCTGGAAATGCTAAACGCTCCCGGCCGGTTTTGGGGTGCACCTTGCTCCAGGCGCCCTCCGCCGTGGTTCACCTTTGCATGCTAAAATTTGCAGAGTTAAATCCAACAGATAGGATGTCCAAGGGAAACCCCTTTCCCATTCAAGGGATTTGTTCCCCATGTCTTCTGATTTTTATTGGTTTTTTTCTCCCCAAGATCCCTTGACACCAACCTGCAGGATTCCAGTAATTCGGTCGGGAGCGCGATGGCGTTTGGGGAGGTTCCTGACGTTCTCTGCCAAGACTTCATAGAATCATGGAATGTTTTGGGTGGGAAGGGACCCCCAGAGGTCACCCAGCCCAACCCCCCTGCAGGAGCAGGGACACCTTGAACCACATCAGGTTGCTCACAGCCCCGGCCAACCTGGCCTGGAATGGTCCCAGGGATGGGGCCTCCACCCCCTCTCTGGGCAACCCCTGCCAGGGTTTCACCACCCTCACTGGAAAGAATTTCTTCCTTAGACCCAGTCTAAACGTGCCCTGCTTCAGTTTAAAGCCATCCCCCCTTGTCCTGTCACAGCTGGCCCTGCTAAAATTTGCCTCCGTCCCAGTCCTTGCTGTGCTCCTGGGGTTTCGCTGCCGTTTCTGGTCGGTGCCCCTGGGCTGTGGCTGAGTCCCAGGTTTTGCCGCATGGGCCAGCTGCCATCTCCCCGGCAGCAGGAACAGCACCTTCTGCTGGCAAGTAAAGCTTTTTCTTGCTCAACTTGCGGACTTTTTTTTATTTCAATAGGCCAGATACATCCCGGTCCAGAAAAGTTTGCAGTTCTTCCTTCTGCCTTGTTTTCCTACCCAATTAAATGTAAAATTCCTACTGCTGAGGACTTTTTTGCTGCTTTTTTTCCCCCTTTTTATGTGATGACGAAGGAGGGGGCAGGGGCTGGGGCTGCCCTCCCTTTCCCAATTTCCCCCATCCCTCCAGGCCATCCGAGCATGCAGCAGACTGCGGGCACCAGGCACGCTGGATCGGCGTGATCCCGGCGAGGCGTGGGAGACCATCAGGTGCAGGGAGCGGGTGCTGGAGCCACGCGGTGCGGAGACGGCGCTGAGTCGCAGCCCTTCGCCGTCCCGAGAGCCCGGTGGTTCCTCCGCCGGGGTTATCTGGTGACGGCAGAGGCGTTTGGCTCCGTGCTTCGCCGCTCAAGCCACGCGTGTTATCAGGCAGGAGGCCTGGCTGTCGCCGACCAGATAAACCAGGCTGGCATTGCCCTGTTTTTCCTCTCGGTTTAGGAGGAACCGCGATCCGCCCGATGCCACAACCTGTTGAGTTATTTGTGTCCCGTTGCCGGCGCTGCGGCAAACGGAGCCGCTAAGCTCTTTTAAAAATTAGGTCATTTAGGAGATCCGTCCTCTGACATTTTGACCTTTGTTTACTTAACGTTTAAGCCGCTGAAACGAAACGGCAGCGGCGCCCGGTGCGTCCGGCTGTCGCTGGAGGCGAGGGGCGGCGGGATGCTGGCGTGCTACTCCGGCACCCCGGCATCGTCGGGAAGCGGGGATCTCAGGTTTGGGGGTTGTAGTGGGGGGGAACCCAGTCTGAAACGTTGGCTTGAGTTCAAAGCCCCCATGCTAAGGTTGCAAAACCGAGCCGCCTCCTCTCTCTTCCCATCTCTCTGCCCTGTGCTTCAGGGGGGGCTGGTTTGGGGAAATTTGCTCCCCCTCCCTCTTCATCTGCTCCCCCAAACCCCTTAAAGCATGTGAGGAGCTGCCTGCCAGCCCAAACGTCGCCCCCGTGCACTAACCTGCATCTTAGCAGGCTTCGGTGACAGCTTTAGGTTAAGCAGATTGGCAAAATCCTCCCCCTCCCAATTTTGCTTACTAAGCCGGACCGGAGGCAGGATGCGCTCGCCCCTTTTCGGGGAAGGGCTTTTGCCGGGGGTGGGCTGGCGGAGCCCAACGCCTCCCGGCCGCATCGCCGGCCGAGTCCCCTGTGCCCACATGGGGCCATCCTGCCCCGGGTTCGAAGCCTTTTTATCATCAGCTCCCGTTTCCCTCTTCCCTCCCTCTTTTCCCTGGTGGCACCGTTAATAGGCTGTAATTAACAGCAGGGAAAAATTCCTTGTATATTTTCAGTCCAGGTTTTCTTTCTTTTTTTTTTTTTTTTTTTTTAATAAAAAAATACCTGTTCCCTGCTCTAGAATGTCTCATTTTGCTTTGGGGTGGGGGGCAAACCCCAAAGCAGACTGTTAGGCTGCTGGCTGCCCCCGGGACCATGTAGAGCTTTCCCTTCTCCCTGGCCTGGGCTCCTTCCCCGGGGCTGCGGCGCTGCCCTGGCACCCATGGGTGCTCCTTGCCGGGGGTCACAGTGTGCTCCGGGGCAGCGACCGCGAGGGAAAAGGCTGCAAGGGCATTGCAGAATGGAAACATTTTGCCGTGTGCCTTGGGTTTCTCCCCCTCCCCTGCCTCGAGAATGCTATTTTCAGCAGCGTGTGGGCAGGGTGAAGCTGAGCACGTTTGATAAAAGCCATCGCTGGGTGCTAAAGGGTGCTCGGCGGCGCTGGGGCACGGGGGCTCAGCTCGCACGGGGCTGCTCAGGGGGCTTGGGGAGGAAGGAAACGCTTTTCTGTTGAATGCCTGCTCTTTAGATCTGGATGGGGTTTTGGAAAGTTGAATCTGCACCAGGGAAGGGGACGAAGGTAATCCCTGCGCCGGAAGGAGCCGGAGCTCAGCTCCCTGCGCTGCCGCTCGGCGTGTGCTGGAATTGTGTTTCCTATTGCAGGGAAAGCGCCCGCAGGGGCTGGTCGCTCATGCCAGGCTTTCAGTTCGCTCTGTCGCTGCCCCTGCCAAATTCAGCTGGCTTTTTTTAATACGTCTGGAGGGGTTTGGGGTTTGGTTTTTTTTTTTTTTTTTTTGCTCTGGTCTGACACTGCCGGTTTCCATGGCCACAAGCCCTGCGTCGCTGCAGTTTGGGGGCTTTGCTGTTTACGGAGCAGCCGAGCCCTGCTGTCCATGAACTTGAAAGAGCTAAAGAGCTCCTGTTTTAGCAAGCAGCTATTACGGGAGGCGGTCACCTCCGCAGGCGGGCGGAGGAAGCTGCGTGAGGAGCGCCGGGCTTCGCACCTCGGCGGGACGCCCCGGGGGGGTGGGTGCATGGGGCTGCAAAACCTCCCCTTCCCTCTTACACAAACCCTTGGCTTTTCTTTTCTCCGCTGTAGGGAAGAGCAGTGAAAGAGCCTCCTACTCCACGTTTGGAAGAGACACGGGGATGCCAGGACTGAATCAGGTAATGATAAAATGCATTGAGATTTTTTTTGCTTGGTTTTCTGGCTAAGCTGCTGGGAGTGGGAGCCTGGGAATGAAAAGGAGCCTGGGGGTTTGCATCCCGCCTCTCCGCACGAGGTCCTGGAAAGCCTCCGCTCCGCTCGGAAACGTCTGTTGAGTGTCGAGGGTTTATACGGGTGTGAGTTTAGAAAATGGGGTTATAGCAGCTTCTCAGTCCTTTTTAAAACCTCTTCAGACTCACTTGTTTTATTGTTGTTAATCCCATTTCTAGCTGGTTTGTGTTTAATCAGATACGACCTAGCCAACACTGCCTTGGGAGGGAGTTTCAGTGAGTCGGATCCGACACTTTTCCTTGTGACAGGGTGGCCGTGGGTAGAGGAGCGCTCCGGGGAGGCAGCTTCTGCCCCCGCCTGCTGGCCATGGGGCTCTCCCTTTGCCTCCGAGCACCGCGCCTGATGCTGCACGCTCTCCCTCCCCGGCCAGCATCCCCCCGTACCCCGGCCAGCATCCCCGCGTCCTCACCAATGAAGGGGAGGGAGAGCCCGCGAGGTGGTTTCTGTGCAGTCGCAGCATCATTTCGGTGGATCTTGGGCGGTGTTTCGGTTTTACGGTGGTCCTGTCGATGCAGGACCCGCAGCAGATGCTCATCTCCCGAGTCAGGGAGGGCCACGGCACGGGAGAGCGGCCTCTCGCAGCAACAGCCCTGCCCCGTCGCGTCACCCCGTCTGAACCCAGGCGGGAGCACCGGGGGCTGTGCCACGGGGAAAAACTTGCTTCCCGTAGGAATAGCACAGGCGTAAAGCAGAGCCCGGGAATACAGCCGACCAGCCCTGAGATAATCTAGCCCGCTGCCACCGGCATCCAGAAATAGTTTTTTGGGAAGGAGCGAGCACCTCTGCTTTGATGTGTTGCTGTGACTGCCCTGACGGTGCCCAAGCACGGCCCCGGGGAAACAGTCCCACCATTTTATTCAAGGGAGCAGCTTTTGGCCGGACAGCTTTTTATTTTATACATGTACACACACACAGACACATATTACATGTTTTAATTTTACACAAATTTGTCATAATTTCCTCTTCTCTGAACTGAGGATGTTTCCTTTGCTGAAACAGCTGTGCTGGCTGTCTGTGCCAGAGTGGATTTAATTTACCACTGAAGCTGCTAAAATAAAAATGGGACGGGTGCCAAGCCTTGCTTTTTAATGTTATGGTTTTGCTGGGGTTTCAGGGAGGAGGGGGAGATATAAGGTAACAGAAATGGGGTGGGCAAATGGTGCCGCAGGCCGGGAGAGGCCCTGGCCGCGGGCGCGCGGGTCCGGATCGGGTGGCAGAGCGGGAGACGGAGCCCGTTTGATGTGGAGGGGAGACAAAACCCCTCTTGTGCGGGGCGGCGGGAGGCGAGCGGGGCCGTCTGCACGCT